GAGAAGTTGAGGGCCTAATATCATCGCTGAAGCAGTACATGCTCTGGGCCGCCGAAGTTGGCCATTTCCAGTCGTCCAATTACGGGTGCTGGTGCATTGACCCCAGGTCAACACCTCGATGTATACAAATATATGCAAGAATGATCAGCTTTGCATAGATGTGTCATAGATGGAGTGTTGGGGATGGATGGTTGGACGGGGGAAACCAAATACTGTGACCGGCTCGCCGGCTGGTCACACCCGCCTCGGCCGCCGCTCGGGGTTCTTCAGAAGCTCCGAGGGGCTCGGGCTCTCTGCACGGCGCGTGCTGCTCGCGGAGTCGGGGCGCCTGGAGTGGAACGGGTCCGGTGCCTCTCTTCTCATTTATCTTTTTACTTATAACTTGTGATGCTATATTTTTAATACGCGATGTGTAAACTTAGTTATGCTATATCATCAAACTTGTTATGCTATGTGCAAATACACAAGCAACACCTTTGTTCTAATATGTTTTCTCACCCGACCTGTTTCTTTCCACCCGAGACCCGACCCGACCGTTCGTCCGTTCGTCACTTCCCTCACAACCGCGAGTGAGTCGTTCGTCGACACCACGAGTCGGGTGGAGCCCTTAACGTCCCGAGCGAACGCTGCACATCGCTCGGTGCACATCGCGCGGTGCACATCAACGCTGTTGTTGTTAGGTTTTTGTTTTTGGTATATATCAGCCTATGAACTGATATAACCAAATTGTAACAAATGCATACCAACCGTGTTTGATCACGTTTGATCGTGTGCTCAGCTGGTGGAGTGGCCAATTGCCTGGGTCCCAGGGGGACACAGTCCAACGACGGCCGGCGGCCTGCGGCCTGCGCCACCGATTCAGCATGTGAAGGTCGTCTTCGCTTACAGGCAAACTGGATATGAACTACGTGTCCGTTTTCCTGGTCTCTAGGAATGGCCGGGGGGGGCAACAAAAGATTCAAGTGGTAAGTGGTTTTGGCACCATCAAGGTTCAAATTGGAATGCAGTTTCCTGCCATTGACGTCCTCTGCGGTTTGATTGGTTTTGTCCATTCGCCCAAACACCCATCCAAAGGCTCTCTATCATGATTGAGTTTGGGGGGGGTCAAGGTGGCTTGGACCCCCCCCCACCAGTCCTCGAGTCCCACCGAAATGGACAGAGATTCTCAGGAAACCTCCAGACTGCCGGACATTCGAACATCGAGGTGTCATTGCAAGTCTGAAACCTCTATTTTCCGTCTGAATCCTCCAAGTTGGCTGCTGAATCCCCACCCCAAAAAAAGGTTTGGTTATGACCAGAAGCTCCAAACTGCCCCTGAAAGGCCCTTGGTCCCTTGGTCCGTTTGGACACACTCCCCGCACCCCTCGCATGCCCGTACGTCCGCGTACATCCGCAGTCCCATCCGCGCCTGGCGACGGGAGCGCTCTGGGGGCGTTTGCGTTGCGTCCAAACCGCCACGGGCTTTGCAGTGGCACGTGCCAAAGGCTGATCCTGGTGGGGAAAAATGGACGGAGAGAGGTGTTTTCCCTTCACATTCTTGGAGAATAGGGAATGGAGTGACTTTGGGCTGCATCTTGGATGTACTCATGGTTACGGGTTTGCCACTGTGCTATACACAAATTCACAAGAATTACACATCTGATCATGTCTGATCAACAAGATAAGCTGTAGAAGAACAAGCTATCTTACATCTTTTCAACATCCTTTTGCCTATCTGGCCTATCTCTCCAAAGCGTCCTGCAACTTGCTCCAGGCAATCTCCAAGGTCTCCGTTGGGAGTGCCTCACATTGCTTGGGCTGCTGAGTACAGAACCGGTTACACCCGGCAAGAGAACCACATCATGGAATATGATTTTCCTCTACTACAAACCGGGCGTGGTAAACTCAGGTTCCATGTGGACCTCTTCCAGGGCGTATGTCAACTAATGGGGTCACAAAGCACCGGCCACTGGTGACGGAACGAGCCAAGAACTACCAGTACCTCCGGTCACCAATTGAAACCTAGGGCCTTGCCCAAACCTCCATTTCGGAGACCTGTTGGGTTCGGTGCTGGTATATATATATATATATTCTTTTTTTGGTAAAGTGACAATGATAACCTACCTATGACACTTATGTTGACTCCCTGGCCATTTCCGCAAATCAAGACCAACCTCTCCACTTGTTGGAGTTGAGAGGCAAACAGAGCAGCCAACAACTTCCTCCAAGCGACTTCCTCCAACTGGGTAAGTGATGTAGACCTTGATCAATAGAACAACAACAACAACAACAACAGGCCTGAAGGGGTTTTACAATCCATGTCCAGTGCGTTTTGACACATACTGTAATCAAGAGGTCTACATTGAACTCCCCAGTTTCGGTACCGAAGTGCCCGTTCGGTCTCCCGTTCGACGATCTGCGCGTCAAGGATCAATAACGCGCTGAATCCATCGGGTCAGACCAAACAATAGACCACCGAAAGGGCGTGAATTCAACAATGCCCGAACAAAGACCGACCCACTTCGCTGGCGCGAAAAGCCGCCCGAGACCGGTGGGAAAAACATCGACCGAGTCACCAAGGGCGTGAAAACCGGGCAGTTTCTGTATACATCAGGAGTGGTTCTCAAGCTAGGGGTGGTTTTCGTCCCCATCCAGGTGAGTGGATCATGGGGACTGTATCCCCTATCTGTGACTCCTGGCAGTTTGTTCTTCTTTTTTCCCTATGGATCCACATACCGAACCTGAGAAGGTGATTGGAGACTATTTATTAGTAGGTTTGGAGGGTCCAATTACCTTCTGAGAATGTGGCAGTGGATCCATAGGGTTTAGAAATGATCGGACTTGCCCCCCCCCCTCCACAGGAGATCCGTCACACGCGTCCGGAGTTGTTTGCTCGTGTGTTCATGAGTCCTGGGTCGCAGGGTTTCGCCGAACTTTTGGGGCCAAAAATGGCCCAGAAAAAGACCTGGCTATACGTGAGCTGGTAAACCCAAGAGATTGGCCGAGTAGGTCACTTCAGAAAAAATTGATTACGACATCTTGTTGAGAAAACCTGAGTTTTAATCCAAATTCATGAGAAATCAACAGTTGACCTTTCAACAAAAACAGCTTCTTACACAAGCTACACAAGCCATAAATCCAAAGGCATGGTGCTTCAGTCCGCGTTTGGACGCTTCTTTTGGCTCCGCCGGACACGGGGAAAATCAGGGTCCCACGCGCTCGCGCGTCCCGAGGGTAGCTCCGTTCGTCGGCTTGGCTTGGGCGTCGGGTGCTTCCATGACTTTCCCTGGAACGCGAGAAGAGAACATCTAAGATTGGACCAACCAATGACTGGCATCTTTGCGTTTGAGTAGGTGATTCGAGTTTGGAATTTCCTGAAACCTTCGGTGGTGACCCAAATAAGTAGTTGAGTTGAACTGCACGACTCTAGAGTCTTGAATAGAGCTTTAAAGCTTATGAGGCGGAACCGCTTCAGGTCCGCTGTTTCTTTTTTTTCACTGGATACCCTGGCAGTTCTCATGATTGGTCACTGTTGCTCACTATTGGTTCCAAAGAAAACCCATCAACCGAGCAAAACCCTGGTTCCTTAATATATACATACTTACCTGAAGTATACCCTAGAAGTCGAGTTCCACAATGATTGGCACCACCAGCATTTGTCGGAAAAAGCCTTCTATAATCACCCAAAGACCAATTCTTAGTGGCAACTGGGATTGATTGGGATTCAAAAGATCCTTTAGACCACTCTCAGGCACTTTGAGAACGAGCGTATGAGCATAAGCACTGAGGCGCCACTTCACATCCGCCGTCACATGAACATGCACTCGAGTGTGGACAAAAGAACTCCCCAAAGCTACAGCCTTCCTTTTATCTATCCGAAGCATGTCTCATCTTCATGTCATTTTGATTCAAGTGCAGCTCCGTTCTTTCGTGCAGGGTCCCTGCGCCAGTTCACGCTGGTGTCTTGTAGTCCCTGCATGCTGTGGCACTGTTAATGCCTCACGAAGCCTGACTGAGGGTCAGATGCATCAACAACTGCATCAACAATATTGATTGATACTTCCAACAATTGTCTAAGAATCACACAACTTCAAGAACCTCCAACCTGGGTGCCGAACTTGGAAATCGGAAACGTCTATCTTGGAAGGGGTTCCAGCTTCTGAGGCTTCTGCTTCAGGTTCACTGTATCATCCCCAGTGGATCCAGGCATTTCCCCACGGTGTTGCTAGTCCAATAACTTCTTCCTTCTTCCTGTGTTTGGGAGATGACTTATTTATCGAACAATTGTAATGCGAGAGCTAGGACCTGCTAAAACTCCTGGTGCCCACAAGTGCTTCGGCAAACTTTTGCGACCAATTGGTGTATCGGGGTATCGTCAATTAGAACATGGAGACCTCCCAAAAACCTCTGAAAAAAAACAAACATAGAGGAAACACCCATTGATTGGATTTGGGTTGTCTCCCTACTAAAATGCAACTCCAAGTCCGTTGTCCTGATTGAAGACCTACGACTCCTTCAGTCAGGTGCAAGAGAGTTCCAGCAAAGCCTGCCACGCTCCCAAGAGTCAAGTGGTGTCGAGCTCTGTGGTGTCTTTCGAAAGGATTGTGCTAGAAGAACCGGGAACAAAACAACTTCCCCAGAAGGGGATTTAATTAGCTCATGAGGAAAATAAATATGAATCATTCATAAGCATTCTAAGCAAAACCAGGTCTTGAATTAATGATGAATCATGATGGATTCGAGACAGTTTCACCATTTGGTTCAACAAGGCGTTTCAACTGCGGCAAAACACAAAGGAATGTTTGGGCATCTGCAGTGATCCAACCTAGACCATCCATGTAGAATTAAGGACATATTTACCTGCATTGACCCCAGGTCAAAAACCCCAATGTGGGTCAATATGCAAGTCCCATGGATGGTCAGGCCAATGATTCCTGCAGCAAGAACCACTTCTTCGTCCTGTCGAAGTGCTGCCGTTTCCTTTCGGGAGCGCTGTGAGACCGACCGCGCGGAACACGCGCTCATTGCTGGGCAAAATCGGTCTTGTTCAGCTTCACGTCGGTGTCAATGTTCACGCCACGGGCTTTGGCCACATGGAGCATGTCCTTGTCACCTCTGCCACAAAGGTTGACCAGCCTTGGTGGAAGGTCAGTTCTTCTCAGTCCCAAACGTTCCAGGAATGGACCCTTCAAGTACCCCAGAGAATTACCGAAGACAACGTGAAGTACGTAAACAATGTGTTTACAGTTCCATTTACTCGTCATGTTCATCCAATTTCATCACCCTCCAACTAAAACTTCTCAGCTCCCATTTGGCCCCATCTCCGTCAAAAAACCATGGGGAGTTTTGCGACCAGCGCCTGTCTCAGCCGGTCCCCCATTTTGTGACTTGCAAAACATATAGGAACCTGTTAGAACCTGGTTCTGATTCGGTGATGTTTTCAGATTGCATGCTTCATCTTCTATCTACTCCAGGTATGTGCTTTTTTTATATCTAAAAACCATGCCTTCCAAAACTCGCCAGTTCTCCAGGGAACACAATCTTGTCCTTTGGCAAGGACTTGGCCAATTCCATCGTCTGATGCAAGGCATGGCTTGGCTCGAGCGCAGGCACGATGCCTTCCTTCCTGCAGGGTCACTCAGGCGGACTTCAGGCGGACTCAAACGGATTGGCACCGAACTGCTCAAAAACGCGCCCCTGGACCCTAATTAGGATTCGAACAACCATTGTTTTAATAGCCCTGTGCCAAAGAACAAGTTATTGTTTTACTAGGATCTTTTTACACTACACCACCAGGTCAACGATTCTTTTAATGGTCTTTGAAGGCTAGGGTGGACCCTCATATGGAGGGGTTGGACCCAAATCCTCTGGAGGGTCAAAGTACGGGTCGAAGTATAATCCCTAGGTTTTGAGGATTGTTGCAGGGAGTGTATTTGTCCTGGCATTTACAGTGGACGGCACATATTTCTGACAAAACAGACATGCAACGGTTCAATTCATGAGCGTGCAGGTTTTAAGCTTTTTCACATGCCTTTTCTGGTTAAGAGTCAAGGAATGGCTTTTTTGCTCTCTGACACCCTCAGTGTCCCTGAAAAAAAACAGTAATCGAACTGTCCACCTGGCCGTATTTAGCGGAGTGTTCCCTTCAAAAAGGATTTTGCAGGTAATCCACATTTTCTGGGATTTTCTGGGTAGGGTGTTGAACTGCAACTCACCGTGGAGAGACTGAGCCTACATTGAGCTGCTTGGCTTTAGGCTGCCTGTCCTGGAGACCAGGCGCATGGCATCTAAGGCTTGCTGGTCCGTGGCAAAAACGTACTCGACTCGACCTGATGGTGATGGCTCGCTGCTCCCCGTCCGTAGGTTGCCTGGCCTGTTAGGGTTTGACCCCGCAAAGCAAACCATCTTGGCAAAACCAATTGTTGGTTTACAGGTAGCTCCTGGCATCGCTACCAGGAACAAGCAGCTACTAGGGGCTCCTGGCCTTACTATATACTAGGAGCAAGGACGCTACTAGGAACAAAGGGCATCGCTACTAGGAGCAAAGGACGCTACTAGGAGCTTGGTTTGGAGATGTGTGGGGACTATCGGTGTGTTGATTTCGGGTTGGGTGATGCAGCAAGGAGGGCAGCCTCTACAATTGCTCTAGCAAAGGAGACGGAGTGAGGAATATAGGATCGGGATCCTCCATCGACATGCAGAATATTGATTTGTTCCTACGAGTAACATGAAACCAGCTAAGCCAAGTTCAGCCAAAAACATAAGGTGGACTAAGTAGATGGTACAAGACTGCAAAGGTGGTTTAAAGCGACCCCATCATATAAAAGACATGTTGGGGTTTGTGCCATCTACTCTGAAACCACTCTATACAGTCAGCCTTATAGTTCTGGAAAACATCCTGGCATGGGCTGGGACAAGAGGAGGACCAGGGAAGAGAGCATGCGAAAGCGCAAACATGAAGTTGGACTGGCTCAAGCATAGGGTACCATTCCTAGGCACTCCATGCGAATAGCATATTTACTTAGATTTGCTTAAGGAACCAACAAAAGTAAACATATTCCCAGAAAGAGGATTCACCCTGGCCCACAATTAGGGAAAACAACCATCGCCATCACCCCAGGGGTGGTTGACCCCCTGAGTGTCCCTCGAACAGAAAGGTTCACCAGGTTCACTAACCTTTTTCCACCTGATCTATTTTTAAGGGGGGCCCAGAAGGATGTTGCAGGTAATCCACTGTGTTCCAGTGGGTAGGTTCCGGGGTCAATGTCTCATTGGACCGGAGAGACCTGGTGAAGGTAACATGAACGACACTCAAATAGAAGGGGAAAACGCAACACCTGTCAGTTTGGTCTTCGGAAGACTCATGGTCAGCCGAATCTTCGGGGGCCATCCACTTCCCTAATTATTTTCAGGAGTGAATATAAATATACTGTACATATGTTCAACTTAAGTATATTAATATGTACAGTATATCCAGAATCAATCTGGCCCTTTTCTTGACCATGGTAGAGGAAATGGTTATCCATTTTCCGTTGGAACCCTCCCACCGAGAGAACCCGAGAGGATTGGGCAAATGTATCGGGAAAGCACCTGCTTCAAGCGATTTTCTTGGTTCAGTGTAGCTGGTTGACAATCCACATCATCAATGGAAAACAACAACACATCGCAGAAACTCATGTATTTGGCGCTTGTTGAAGTAATTATAGCCAAACACTCCATGTATGGCATAGTTACATACATTGGGGTAGGTTGGGGGTTTGATGTAGATGTAAGTCCCATTAGAAGAGTGATGTCTAGGATTTAGCCAACATATTGGGTCTATCCTAATGCCTGTAACAGTGGATGATGGTGCAGTTGCAGGCCTTGTTCAAACATAGTAATAATTGTTTACTGACTGTTACAGGTAAGTTCGGACAGACCCAATACATACATACATATATACCTGGACCTTCCAACGACCCATTGGTCGGATTAGCCGCCCTATATGCCACTTCCTCCATTTTAGACAGCCTCTTGCTCCGAGGCACCGCACGCCTTCAAGGAGGCGTGTTGAGGGCCCACGCCCGGATAGTCGAGGCCGGCGGAAATGGAATGCGTTTCCTTGATCTGACCTCCGAAGCAACGCGTTGCGCACGTCCGTCACGTCCGACCGTGTTCCGCGTGATCGATGGCGCGGCGGGCACGTGCTGAGCTCTGTTTTGGTTGGGCCTTCTGGAAAGAGACCACTGGTGTTTTTGGCGAAACGCTGCGGCGGTGCGGCGGCAGAAGTGGTCAATCTATGGGACTGGACTGGACCATGGATTAAAATGTATAGAAGATCTACATTGATCTACCTATTGGACACGCTTTTTTTCTGGACCCGTGCACCATGTGGTCTCATCGATCGACGATATTTCCATCCTGTTCCCCAAATCTATCCATCTTCAATCACTCCAATCTGAGCAGTGTTCATCTTCCGTTCCGGACATGTCAGCAACCAGCGATTCCAGGGTCCGTTTTCTATTGAGCCCGACTTACCAAGCGGCAATGAAGGACGTAACCACGGTAATGGGGTTGAGTTGATGGATTGCAAACATCAAGGGATTTACATGGATTTACCATGTTCTTCTATGTCCTTCTCAGTTTTCTGGGCTCGGCTAGAGCTCACTCCTTGAGCAGTTGATGTATAAACTTGGGTAATTACTCAGGTCATGGGCTCTGGGAAGTTTACATTGGAAGCATTCTCTTAGGTACTCCGTTATGAGTGTGGCTACTCTCTTCTCCCGTGTGTCTCGATCCAAAGGAATCCTTTTTTCGCCCAGGAGACCGTCGGGAGACTGCAACAGGTAGGTCCGGGATCCATGAAGAACACCTGCACCGAGCGCCGCGAAGCGCCGCGAAGCGCAGAGCGCTACACGGTCATGGTGTAACAAGGAGCCAAAGAGACAGACCACTCAGCCTCGGGTTCGCCCACCATTGATTTACTCTCCCTGAAACAATCATGGAAGTGGAAAACCATCGGTTTAGTAGAGGAAAACAGTCTTCCAAGAGGCCATGTTCCACTTCCATGTTTGTTGGAGGGAGCGTAACTCTTTCTTTCCCGAACAACTGTTGCTTGAGATTGCTTGAGGTTGTCTTATTAAGGATCTTAGACGACAAAAACCAGGTCAACAAAACTCTCTGGGTTAAATCACCCGGGCTTGCTGAAAGTCACCCGTTTTGTGTAACAACACCATGGAGCTTTTGCGGAAGTATCCGTCATTATGTCTTCAAAAGCTTTTGCACATACTGTAACTTACTGCCCATATGCAAAAAAAATAACCTTTGTAGCTTCTGGGGGGGGCCGAAACCCAATGAGAATGCATGTTTGGTGTCGAAAGACGGGTTACATCCCCCCCTACAGACGTGGCCAGCTATACCCGGCGTGCGACGCATCGGACGCATGACGGTCGACCGGTGGACCGGTTGAACGAGGGTCTGTCGACTGTGAAGAGAATCCAAGCGCGGACCTGTTGGTTAGGGACTGCCTGATCATCAAGGTGCAAGATGGTGCAAGGGACAATTCTATGCTAGTTACAGTTAGATCAGTTAGAATTCCTTTAATTTAATCATATACATACACGAATCATATACCCAACATTACCCAACAATCCTTTGGCACTACCTGGAGTCTCAGTTCGTACCTCAGAACAATTTGGGGCATATAGAATGACCTGGTACAAGTGTCAATCGGATCATGTCCCAATTTCCAGTACTGCCGGGTCCAGCCACCTATCTGATAGGAGCCTTGTTGCCTTGTTGCCTCCGGGCCATGGGGTTCCCCGAGCCAAGAGACCCACGGTGCCCTTCGTCAGGGTGGCGGAGTGCTTGTCAGTCTCGGTGCCATCCTGACGAATTCGCAGGGTCGCAGGTGATGTGTCATATAGACCCAAACACGACACATGGGACTGCCATGGGACTGCCTATACATTGACCCCCAGTCAACCACCCCTGGCCTGATCGGCAGTCCTATGGCAGTCCCATGTGTCGTGTCTGGGTATAAATGACACATCACGACCTGTCTGGGACTGGCCTATTGACCGATCAGGCCAGGTGGCCAAGGGTGAGACCGTTGGACTGGCTGCGGGTACCATCCCCAAAGACCACCCGGTGGGACTGGAAGATGGATCGAAAAGGCCAAGGGTAGACCCCGGGTCCATGTGGTCTGACTCCAGTCCCATGAATCGTTTAGTGATTGGGATTGGAAAACATTCTGATGGTGCCAATCCGCTAATCAGCTGGGTATAGATCAAAAAATCAATAAACAACATGAACACTCACTGAGGCTCAACTTGTTGGGTTTACTGCTCGATGAAGTACCAACCAACGCTTCGGAGTGAATGAACTGCTCAAGACTTCAAGCTCAAGAGACAGTTCCTGGCAACGATGGCTCAGAGCGCCCTGTCCGAAAACCATGGGAGGAAATGGTTCGTGAGGCTCTTGGGTTTGTGAATTGTGCATCTTTTGTATAATTATATATCTTTGTGTCTTTTCGATTGTACTTGTTATGTTTGCATGATTTGGTCGTAGTTTCCACCCACTGTTAGTAATCACAGAACTTGGCGCTGGAGGCCAGTTCCATCCACATCCGGGCTGTTCCAATAGGCGGGTTCTGAGCGATGTCTTAAAGCTCAGGCGCTGGAAGCCACGGGCCATGTTCGCCACCAGCCTCGACACCAATGATCCGTACCTAACAACGAGTCGGCCGGGCTGGTCTCTTGGAGTGTGTTCTCTTGTGTCTTGTTTTTTGAGAACCTGTGGCCTTTGGCCACGTGTCATGAATATCGATGCTGCATGCGGTTCTACACCTGTCTGAGCTGCTGATGGCCACTCTAGGTCTAGAGAAGCATCGAATCCAGGTCTCCTTGAATGGTCGTCTATATTTCATGCTATATTTATTTCATGCTGGTCCATTGGTGCCCAAAAATGAAACACAGTGCAAGCGTCAGCCCTCTGTTGCCATTCATCGCCGTCTGCAGCTTCAAGCATCCGTGACGGCTTGTCCCTCCGGAACCAGGTCCAAACACTGCGAGCCTCCTTGTCTCCCAAGAAGGCGTTGAACATGCCGATAGCGTTGGAACCGCCACCCACACAGGCCACCACCAAATCCTGAACCAGACAGGCCATGGGCGAGACATGTGACATGATTATATCTGTGGATAAACCCTGCCAGGCATTTAGAACTGTCCTTCAAAAGGAGCTTATGCAGGGTCCTACTGTGACGTGTCAAGAATCAGCCATGTTCAGAGTATTGCAACTGTATTGCAGTATAGTAACATGCCCAGTGGATCCGAGGTTCCGAACAAAACACATCCCCCACCAAAAAAAATGGGGGTTCCTCGGTCTCTTGGCAGTCTGGTCGTTCGGTTCGTTCGGTCGTGGGATGGTTCGGATGGTCGGATTCTCCACCTGGCACTCCGCCAACAGCCCTCCGGCACTTTGCAGGGCGGCCCTGCACCTCCCGCAGCTCTTTTAACCCAACCTGGCACGCCCTGCACGCCTCGGCTCCTCTGATCATCTTAGATCACGCCCCCACCCGCCAGAAAAACGCCCCCATACGCCTCGACGCCAACGCCCCATCGTGGGTTTCCTGCATTGAACGGAACTGGACGGTACCTTCCAGGTTCCCCCCCCACCTGCGGCTGAGACACGGGCAGCCGTCCAGGGCCGTTGGTAAAGGTGGGGTGTCCAAACTCACCCGTCGTCTGATTCAACATCCTCAGAGACCGAAGCGACGGATTTCTATGGCTTCATTGGCTTCATTGGTCGTGGCTCACCTGGACAATCACCAACGAAGGATGTCCCATGGCTTCATTGGTCCCATGGCTTCATTGTGTTCAGGATGTCGGCTTCATTGGTCGCACCCCGACATGAAAGAAGGCACAAACGATCATGGATCTTCCAACGACATGCAGAGTTTCTGCCTCTCCACCCATAAAACCAAGTTCGGCCGAAATTCTGTATATTTGGAAGATCCAGGTATGTTCTAGGGATCACACTGCCACCTTCTCGGGTTCGGTACCACTGTCTCTGTCCAATCTTCCCAAAAAGGTGACCTGTAGGTGATCCACCTTGCCTATAGGATGATATAGCATGTAGTATTCGACACAGTCACCCGGGCTCGCAACTCAACGCCTTTCGTGGAGCCCTCTGAACCCACATCCGAACCAATTGGAGAGTTATCCTCCTTACCTTGCTGCAAGTGCCTTTGGAGTAGCATACCTCATAAGCTAAGAAGTGTGGAGAATGGGCTGGATATCCACAACCCCGATGCCGGAAATCGCCTGTTACAAAGCTTAACCTTCCAGCTGCTTCCAAGCGGTCACCAATGGATATCTCCACACTACTTACAGGTCTCCATTGGGCACCCCTTGGAAGCGCTAGGTTTGTCCACGTCTTTCCTCTGAGGGTCCAAAGAGATGGCCATGGCCCTCATGGCGGTCATGGCCAAGCCCGGAACCCACCCTGGGTAGGTTGACCTCCGGTCGTCTGGTCGTCTGTTTATTTTGTCCGAGGTCAATCAGGGTCCCCCAGTTTGGACTCACAGCCAGATCAATGATTCCCTTTTCATGGTGACCCTACATCTCTCACCACCTGGTTCCTAGACAGGCAGTTCATCCAAGTCTGTCGTGAGACATGCCCAGACTCCCTTCTGGAGCATGAAAAAGAGAAGTCTCATTGCAACAATAAGCCTTGACTACTACCCTTCAAAAAGTGCTGGAGCTGGTTTTGTAGTCTAAAATCCATTGTAGAACAAGGTTCTTCGGGACAACCGTTTAAATCAATGGTGGTTCAAATCCAGGGGAGATTGTTTCTTCACACAATGCAAACATCTCCCTTTGTTCGTGAGGGGTGAACCCCCCCCCCCTGCGGCTCCAAGGCCACCAGTCAGTCAACCAAAGCCATTGGAGGGTGGCTTGGTGAACTTCTCACCATCAAACACACCTTGAACTTAGCATTTGTCTGAAAATAACCAAGCTAAACACACATCATGATTGAACTGGCCCTTGAAACGGGACCGCTTTGCCGCTGTCGCGCAGTCCAAGTGGCTGAGCTCTTGCCTCGTTCCCTATCACAGCTTGAAGGTCACGCACAATGTCCTTGTGGCGCTAAGCGGAGGGTCAGAAGGGCCACACTTGGGGTGGAAAGCAGCAGCGACACAGTGTGATTCTATTTCTTTAGACACCCTGATGGCTTCTAAGAGCTCAGGTTTCACAGAAAACCAGGTGGCACACATCGGAACTGCAATCACTTCGGCTGTGAGGGTTGCTCCTATGAAACAGCTGAAGCTTCCCAACACTTCCCATCTATCGATGACCATCGTGGTGGAAACGCTCCAAGCAGTGCACCGACTGTCTTGTCTCTTTGATTTATGTGGGGTTGGCCCATCAAGTCACAGACTCTCTGGAAGATCGAACACCCCCCCCTGTGGATTAAGACGAACCCTGAAGCCCAGAAGTGATAATCCACCACTACAATTGGGGTAAAGTGTGTCACTTGGACCCTGAGGGAAGAATGGATGTTTGGCAAACGACTTCAGAGTAGATGGTAAGATTATGTAAGATGGCACCAGTTTATATAGACCCCCATCTGTCTCAGTGTGTTCAGGTTCTGTGCCGACTATTCCTAGGGATCCACATGCCCTCTGAGAAGAAGGATATGTTCGACACTGTCATCTTAAGGTGCCATAAGCTCAGGTTCGGTACCTTCTACTGGATCCCCTTAATTCGGATGTCCGGGTGTCCGGGTCTTTGGAGCCGACTGGTCAGATCCGCTTGTTCTCCACCCAACCCTCCGCAACAACGCAGCCCGAGCGGCCGGGAAAGGATGCGGCCCGACGGCGCTGCCGATGATGTAGTGCGTCGTGCGGATGTTGGTGACCCAATCCCTCAAGGCCTTGGCTGTCGCGCGACGCCCGGACGACCGTCGCAGCGACGTCGGTTCGGTATGACTGGACCGGCCCCTCGGGCCCCGGTCGTCCCACCGAAACGCAAGGATACGGTATGACTGGAGGCCTAGGGTGTGCATTGATCACCAGGAGGTGAACCCGTGAAGCGAGCCCCAGGTTTGATCACAAGGCTGTTGCTTCACCCTGCAGAGCTCGTGCGTTAGTGGGTAAAGGGTTTTACAGGTGATCCACTGAACTCCTGGGTAAGACGAAGCAAAGAAGCAACGTCTGAGGTGGACCACTATGCAGCTGAGGTTCCGAGCCAAAAACCTCGCCACAACGTTAGATAGACCCTCTTACTAAACGATACTAAACTTGGAGTTCTTGGCGCTGCTCACTTGTTCTTTGTTGAAACTATAGTTCCATTTCATCTTTGAAACATTCCAGACCTGATTCAATGCACCCGTCCACCTACGAGCAGGGTTCCACCCACCCACTATCTTCCGCCTCGTTCACGGCATCCTTCAGCGTTCGGCTGCCGCTCTTCACTGGCACGACTGTGGCACCCAACTCGCGCATGCCTCGATCGCAATCAGTGGATCAAACAAAAGCGACGAAAAGCTGGCGAGACACCAGCTTGGAGGTTTGAAGAGTGATAAGTGATGACTATAGTGATCACTGGCGAAGTTATATTCCATGATTTCCCATGTATTTCCTCCATGGGACTGGCATATTTACGTACATTGGGGTCGTTTCAGGTATCAATGTGGCTCAACATAGGTATCAACATCACCAACCGCTCTTTAGTCAATGTGAAATGCCCAAACCCGTTCAGCCCAAGATCGAATCCTGGAGGATTGATCATTGACAATCGTATCATGGGCCAACGTGGCTGGTATGGCCCCGAGAAATCCGAACCAAACAGGTGGTGAGTTTTCCTCGGAGTGCATCGCTCCTTGTCTTCTTTGTGTCATTGATTCGTTTTTAAATTTACTCTGCAAAGGGGTATTCCAATCTATTCCATGGTATTGAAATGGTGTTCCCCATTGCTTCGTATTGCTTCTTCGTATGGCAGTGGGTCAAAACCAATCGATACGTGCACATGAGTCCGGCGCCTGCCAACCGGTACCCGGGTGTTCCTGGTTTTGCGCGGCCGAAAAGGAACAACACCAGGAGGTCAACCTACTGAAGCGAGCCCGAGGATTGATCACAAGACGGTTGTTTCACCCGGGCCTGAGGTTCTGCGAGTCTGGACCCATCCAGAAGAGGGATATGATATACCAACGACATGGACTCGCTCGTGGAACAGGGGGCAACAACTGTTTTAGCCAAGTTTTGCAGGTTTTTCACGGATGGGGTGGTTTGCATTTAGATCAGGCTTAAGGATCAATGTAGGCTTGTTGGGGTAGGATCACATCCCCATGTTGTGATATGTGGTGATGCTTGGGAGGGTCCAAGCAGACTTGTTGGATTGCGGTAGGACCACAAGGAAACATCTTGTCTGGGCTGACTCTACCTCCATCCGCTGAACCAACTGCTGCTGAGAGGCGAAAGCAGTTCAACTTCTGCCGCTCCGTGTCGATTTCCCCCATGTAGACAATCTGCAGCTGGCTTGGCAATGAAACTGAGCCCCTGTGCATACCCTCCATGCGCTCAGTAAACGAGCGTGTGTGCCAAGTATGCATGCATGTTGCAGCGCACACGGGATCGTGTTGGAGAAAACAAGGCCATCATCAAAGGCAGTCTGCTTTCGTGCCCTCATTTGCTTCATTCGCAGTGGGTTGGGCGTTGAACAAGCAGTCTGCTATTGGGCCATCAGTCCCACAGCAGGTCCCTATCGACCATGTAAGACGTTCCCAGTGTTTCACAGCTTCATGTCTGTTTGGTCTTTCTTCTTTGCTCCTTCCAAAACAAGCAACAAAGACATACCAGCACCTTCCAACAGGTCTCCGAAATGGAGGGTTGTTAGGCCTAACAGGTTTCAATTGGTGAGCTGTTGGAGGTGCTGGTAAACAGAAGCTTGTTTCAATTGAAAAGGAATCTCTTGGAGAGATGATTCTGGTCAAGCTTTCAAGCATAAGCAAGAGGTTTCAGCTAACAAGCAAGGACCAGTACTGTAATTTATAATTTATATATTTAAATAGATACCAGCAATTTACCATACACAATCAAACCATGCATGCATATGACTGCATATGTGACAATCAAAGAGACCTCAAGATGAACAAATTGACTCCCCTCAATATACTTTTTTTTCATCTAACATGCATGTACCAGCACCTTCCAACAGGTCTCCGAAATAGGGTTGTTAGGCCCCAACAGGTTTCAACTCGTGACCTGTTGGTCGGTGCTGGTACCTATTTTCCTCAGTACAGCCACGGCACCGAACGTGCTCGAGATCGCCACACATCCTCCGGGGGACCGACGTGCTCCACCACGTGCTCCACCGTCCCACTTAGCTTTCGCCATGGCACACACTCCAAGTCCAAGAGAGCACAAGCCGCGGCAGTGGCCACGCCGTGCTGCCCCGCACCGGTCTCTGCCTGTGGCGGATTGGAACCCTAAGCATCCGAAGGGACCCTCCATGGCCAGGGGTCGAACACTCTATAATTAACAAGGGTTTGGGGCCCCTCAAAACCCTTGTTTTTTCAGGGTGCGGATCCTTAGGGAAGAAACAATTCTGGCAACGAAGGAGGCACAGAAACACCAAGGCGCAGCCTTTTTGGGGGGGCTCAGTCTGACAGTGGTTTCCTTGGAATTGGTTTCTTCACGGGGTGGACACCCGGGACGTGTCCAAGAAAAGGTGCCTACCTTTTGCTCCGGGCAGTCTTCCCAACTCCCAAGTGCAGGTGAAAGGAAGTTGCCTTTTTGGTTTCGATTCTGATCGCCGGTCATTCAGCTTGCCAGTCACCTGGAAAAACGTTTCATGTAACGGCCCCCCCCCCCGATCACCTGGGTTTCAAGCAGAAAGCAAAGGATAATCCTGGGTTTTCAAACCATTTGGAAATGGGTTGTAAACTTTCTGAACACAAATCAATACGAAACCAACACACATTTGCAATCAAAAAAACTCTGTCAGTTTGTGAACTTGGATTTTCCTGGATGATCAAACATCTCTGCCGCCAGGTCGCAATAATTCGTTTCTTCCCCAACTTGATGGCCTCAGGGCGTCTACGCAAGGTCGGGTTGCAAAGGAGGCATCGCCACACGTTGCACCGCCAAACGACGTTGATCAGGTGAGAAGCGCGTCTGTTGGGGTCAAACTAGGTCATCACCTGCGACTGTTGGGTGGTGTGCATTTCAGCCTCCATTTCGGAGACCTGTTAGAAGGTGCTGGTGTGACTCAGGTTTCATGGCATCACCTGGCAAAGATCCGATGTGAGCAACCAGCTGTGGAGAACTGTGCAAAACATAAATTAAAACACCAGGAGCGGTTGTAGACTCCCTGGAGTCCTCATGGCTACGTGGAGTGAACACCACGCTGGTTACGTATTCGGAGTGCGTCCAGTCATCCGAACTCGGCGGGACATCTTCATCATTTTCCCATCTACCAGCACCCTCCAACAGGTCTCCTCTGGTGGCTTTTGGACATCTAAAAAAGGCGGGTGGTGACCTGTTGGAGGGTCCTGGTAGATAACCATGATGATTCCAGGGAGTGCAGATATTTCTTTTAACTTGTGGGTTTGGATGTGACGGCGTCAATGACATTTTGGACATCCAAAAAAGGACAAACACCCAGAGAACCAAAGTCGAGCCCCGTGCTCATTTGCCAGACATGGTGAAACAAGGTCACATGTTGGTGCTTGCGCCTTGGTGCTTTGTGTCTACCACCGGTTGAGGAGCCGAGTTTCAAAGATATAAACATTGCAGAACCGAGGTTTTGAGCGAACCCGCGGATCTCGGCGGGGCAGGTGAGACCTCCACACAAAAACTCCACATGATGTGAACAACTGGTTGCTCACAGGGCCGGATTTCATTGCTCGACCATTCACGCGGCACATGCAAGTGCAGCTGTTGCCATCTCTCAATGCATTGCGTTCCAGCCACCACCATATTCTTATGTTTCTATATGAAAGTTTCGGATCTTGCGACCCATGCACATCTTGGGCCAGCAATGGGCGCCGTCATATGGTGACCTGGGAGCGATTGCTTGAGATGTGGTCCTTGGTGCTTTGCACTCCTTCGCAACTTTCCACTGGAGGGCTGGTTTGAGGCGGCGCGAGTTTGAAGGGGAGCACTTAAATCATGCCTCGACCACCTCGCATGGTCTCATCTGGAGCCGCTCTTTCCACCAACGACCCAGAAGTGAGCTGGCCAATATGAAGGGGACTTTGGTTCCGATGTCTTGGCTTTCTGCCATGGTTCTTCCGCAGCCTTGACATTCCGGAGCTGCTCATTGTGTCCTGACACTTAGAGCTGAGTCCATGTGCGTCACCCAGACGCTCATTGACCCTCAAACTGCTACATGTTTGAGGTCCAAAACCCTAGTTGTGAGGGTCAAAACCCTAGCTATGAGGGTCCAATGAGGGTCTGGGCAGCTTCCATTTCTTTGCCCAAGCCTTGCAGAGACGCACAATGCTTTTCCCCAGCACGTACTTCTTGAGGCAAAGAGAGCAGCATGCGTCAGAGCTACGGGCAGCAAAAGCACTCAATGCAGCTCTGAGATCCGTAGTCAACATGTGCATGCTTTGCCAGGGGCGCCACGCATCACGCCAGCGCTGCAGTACACCCACCAAAGTCGTTAATGCCATGACAGCCAGCTGATACGCATACTCTCTGACTTTCCACTGTAAACGAAGCTTCTACCTTGGATGTAGTTGATATAATCAATAAAAACTAGCACCGCTGACTTGTTGGAGGACTCAGTCAGCAAGGCAGTGTTGATCAGCCTCTTCGCTGCATCTTCATGCATCTCAGCCAGAGTTGCTACCTCTGCAAAGCTGACAACAGCAAAGGCCAAATGCAAAGGTCGCACTTGACTCGAGGCTCCATGAGGGAACTTTTTTCACTGAGTGGTGACTTCGACCAAACGTGGCCTTCACCCCCCCACCACCCCAATTGAATCACTTGGGTCGTTTGAAGACAACTTCTACCCGATGACAACCTTGACAAAACGATGACCACCTCGACCAACGATGACAACAGCGACACTGAAAGGGTCGAGAAAGGAGTCTTCGCGAACCAATCCCGATGCCAACGTCATCCAAAACGTCAAAAATATCCCATACACTCCATGTATGCCATATATGCCTACATTGGGGTGGTTTGGGGGGTCAATGTAGGCATATATGGCATACATGGAGCGTTTGGGTATTAAAACATCGACGAAACATTAAAGCGCGCTACCAACGTGCCTCCTGAAACAAGGGTCACGGAGTATAGTGGCATAATGACTCTTGAACCCTAACAATTCCAACTGCGAAGCACCCCACAAGAGACCCACATGGAACCTGATGGCATGGACCAAACTGGAAGACCATTTTCCTCTACGTTCCCATTGTGGTTGTCTGATGTGGTTTAACCAGGTTCCATGTGGGGCTCAAACCCATTTGCGTAGAACTGTATTCACCGTACCTGGATGCCCAATGCTTCTTTCGACCACTGCTTCGTCACCAGGCGTTCGCTTCACAAACTGAGGCTTCGACCAGCAGTGCCTAGCGGACGACCGCTGGTAACGGGAATTGCAACGGGTGAACTCTGAGGATGTGGGAACTTGTAAGAACTGCTTCTACACATCCTGAAAAATTAAGTATAACAATCTTTAGCGGGTCGAGTCTCTGATTGTATCCCGCATAAAGAGTAGAATACCAACATGGACGAACATATTCAATCTTCAACATCCTTGGTGATTGGGATTGATCTGTGCAGTTCCCATCACTTCACACATCTTCACACCATCGTCCATCCTCCCAGTAGAGATGCTGCTTCAAAACCGACTGCAAACCGGGCTGTGCACTTCGGCTTTCTCGTCGAGCGTGCTTGCATGAAACCAGCACACACCACTTCTGCCGGAAGAAACCAGTTTTCTATCCAAAAACACTCCAAACATCCCCTATATACATCCCCTGAGTCCCTCAAAATCTGTAGGGATTTGAGACCCCAAACCCTAGAAGGGCCCAGGGTCGCGTCTGGGCAGCACGTATTTCTCCGCGTGTGTTCTTCTCGAAAACTACGATCTTCGCCTTGAAAAACACCGGAGAAGGTCCTCTGGGAAAGAGGATTCATAACCTAAGTGCCAAGAGAAGTCCAAAGACCGTTGGCACCACCGAGGTACTACGTGATGTCGGAAATTCCTGCAACCTACTAAAGACCCAAGACCCATTTCTCAAATGGTCTTGGCCTTCCCTGCGGTCCATCTGTCCAACCAACCAGGAAAAAAAAGCAGTGGCAGTGCGGTCCGCCTGGCCGATGGCATTGTTGATCTTGTGGGCGCCGGTGTGTGCGAGCTCCTCTCGCTTGAACCAGATCCTCGGAGATTTCTCGTGGCCCACGGGTAGGACCGAACCGGTGTCGCACCTGGGTGGTTCCACCAGCGGTTTCGGAGGTTGTTAGAGTCGGACCCTGGTGGAGGATTGGATGGAGTGACAAGGGGGGTAGAAGGAAGAACATCAGAAGCTGTTCAGAAGCTGTTCATTGGATGGAAACAACCTCCGTCATGGTGGACACATGTCTTTGATAGTCGAAATGGTATGGAAATGGTCAATGCTCTATCATGGTCTTACATTTAAAGAGTTCGGTCTCCGGAGACCAAGTCCAACAACAACAACACCCTGCCCGTTCCAAGGACCAACTATAAAACCTGGTCTGACTGACCAGCTTTAAGTCACAGGTGTCCATCGCCTTCTCTCGCGGATGCAGTGAAATGAGGGTCCTTGACCTGGGACAAGGAGTCTCACCGTTCACTATCCTTCACTCCCGTTTTATCACAGGAACTTGGAACACATCACTCCTGTTTGTCCTCCTTGATCTTCAGTCTCCATCTTCACAGGCCGTGGAAGCATGGCCCCAAACCAACCAGCACCACCCTACTTTGGGCGCTCCACCCCAAGGTTGGGAGCCCAAGGTTGGATGTAAACTCTTGAATGAAGAACACCTCCACCAAAAAGCGACTGTAAAACAATTCCCATGAGGAGGCGTTATAAATGTTTACTTTGGGTCGACCATCCTACCTGTAACAGTGGATGATGATGTTCGTATTGTATGTGATAATTGTTTACTAACTGTTACAGGCAATAGGACAGACCCAATGTTTACATGTAGTTCCTACCCGAATCCTCCCGAATCTTCAGTCCCACCTTCCCAGGCTCCGCTCCCTCTTTCACCCTCTTTCCGTCCAGCGTCTGTGCCCCGCCGATGAAGTCTGTGAGCCGTTTGGCGTGGTACAGCGGCGTGGGGCCTCCGATGAAGTCCCGTCGCAGACGCGCCAGCTCCGCTTTGAAGGCCTCGACGAGCGAGAACAGCGAGTCGGGTGGAGGAGTTGATTGATGGGGGGGGTCGCGGCGCGGAAAAGTGGCGAACGTGAGGTTGGGATGCTTCTAACGCTTCTGATTTGGGGTGTTGAACTTTCTGGACATGAACTTGATAACTTAACTCATGAAAATGGATCATTCTCGTTCCTCGACAGAAGGCATCATTCATGGTCTATGTTCCCAAGCCGCAAGCTAGTGCAAACATGTCACATGTAAATGTACATTACCAGCACCACCACGGCTACATAACAATACAATTCGGCAATGCGATCAAACGCAAGCAGAGTCATAGGCTGCAAATTCAAGCTCCCCCATCCTCCAGCCCAACTGTCCAACTTTCATTACTTTTTTTCAGGTCGCTGACCTCATTTGGGAAAGTAGATGGCAACTACTTCATCAGTAAGATGTTCACATCATTTCACATCACTACAATCAACTTGAATCCATGACGCCCTTAAGGGCGCCGCGCCCCAAACGCTAACATTGTTTGATCGCCCTTGAAACCACACACCTGCTCAAAACACCATCAACGGACCATCGGACCTGGTCCTATGTCGTCCTTCTACCCAAGGTGCTGGATCGACCTTCCACTTGGCCCATGCTTCTTCCAGTTCGTGGTGTGCCACCATCAAGGTCTCCTGATGAGCGCTCCACGGACTCTATGCATGGGCTCCATGGCGTTCATGATGATTCACTCAGTTTCCCTTGAAGTAAAAGGTGAACCTGTTTTCCCATCGATCTGTTCATATTTAGTGGTTAAAACCAATGGCCCCAAAAAGGTTCACGGTTTTCCATTGACTGGGTAGGTGGTTCATCTTCAGTGTCCCCAAGTATCCCAAGGTTCGGCAACCTGCCGGTGATCCACTTTTCACTCCTGGGTACAGTAAGACCAGCTGGCTTCATCCGAACGGCTTCTGAAGGATGACTGTTGGGACCACTCAACAGCCAAACATGACCTGTCCAGAACTGGAACCTTTACAAACAAAAGTGGATCCCAGGTGGTACCCTTGGCATAATCTAGAGTATGCCAGTCCCATCCATTGGTGTCTGCGTAAGACTTACCACAACCGTTATGCGAATATGGCTATCCCTACACCTCCAGTGCTCCCTACACCTCCAGTGCTTCACCTCCCCCCTAGGCCTCCAGTGCTTCACCGTTTCGTTTCGGTGGGACGACCGAAACTCCGGGTGCGGATCCTACGTCGGGTCCAGGAGCTACCGAACCGGGTCCCTGTAGGGTCCCTGTAGGGTCCTCAGGTTCTGTATGACTGGACCCCACGTAGAAAGGCAGCCACCCCAGGTCCTGGCCGGTCCCACCAGGTACGACTGGAGGCCAGGCAGCCACGACTTGGAGTCGTCCACCAATCCCAGCGGATCGGTCCACATGGTAAGCCACCCAAACAGGAACAGGTCGGTTGACCAAACAGCTCGGTGCATCATTACACGAAACAGCCAGTCAGCATGACTCAGCATATATGCACGCACCCTGCCCACCTGTGCAACATGAGTTTCTCCAACAAAACACGCTAAGGAACCTCAAGGACCCACCTGGCAGCCCCCCGACACAGTCTCTCTCTTTCGATTCGGCTGAACGGCCGAACCGGCGGACATCCAAGGCACTGGAATAAAGCGGCCGCCAAAAACGCTGCTTCCAAAGTTCCACTTGTCCGCATGCTTCTTCCTCAGGTCTGACCGCGCCCCAGGCGCGCGCGCGCCGCGCTGGTCCGCTGGGGGCGCCGCCCCCGCGCTGGGCGCGCTTGGAGTCCGAACGTCGCTGCATGGGACTGGGAGAGTCATGTCCGGTAAGGACCATGAAACACATGGGGCACTGCGCCACCGCACTTGGAACAAAAAGGGTGCCATAATATATGTGTAAACAGCTCGGTGTTCTTAGGGATTCCAAGCATTCCAACGTTGCGTTTCGGCCCAAAAACGCCGGTTTCGTCCGTGTTGGGCTTCGCGCCCTCATGACCTGCCCCCGCGCTGCTCTGACTGAGCCTCTGCTGCTCCAAATCGGCGGCTGTCCGTTGACGCTTCGCCGGAGGCTCCACCTGCGAGGCTTCGAAGCTCTCGAAGCTCTTGGGCGAACGAAGCCGAGAATATCGTACTCCGAAAGAAGTCTTGCAACATGAATAAGCCTACATAAAATGAGCCTCCAATCACCTTCTCAAAGGGTGGCAGTGGCTCCATCGCGAATCACTTGTGGACCAGAAACAGTCTATAGTCACAAATGGCACCCAGTCCAAAAGGCGAGCAACACCAAGTTGGCAAGTCCTGGCATGGCTTCACCCAGTTTGGGAAAAACCAGATCACCCAGCAAAAACCAAAGCATCAAGAAACTCTCGCTCCTTTCAACTTTCAACTACTCAGCAGCGATCTATTCTCCCCTGACCCATGCGGCGCCATGCCTCTTTGGAGCTGGTGCTGCTCAATGGTCCACCACTGAGCTTCTTCACCAAAGCACCGGCCTGGGAGAGTTCCGAGCTCCTTCAGTCAGTTGTGGAGACGTTAAACCGTTGGACGTACCACAAGCGTATTATTGACCTACGAACCTCAAAAGATCTTAGAATCACCTTATAATTGATTGGCAAAGATTCCAGTCCCAGGGATTGTTTGGAAGTCCAAGACCACAAAAATGGTGGACCTGGTGTTCTAGTGTGAAACCAATAAGTAAACAGATGTAAACCATGGATGGGATTGTTTGGTCCATGGTCCTTGGTCCTCTCCGTTCCTCTGATTTTCACTCTAAGCGTCGGCTGCCACGCCGCCTTTTCCCAGCTCCTGCGCAGCGCTTTGCCGCGCCCGGCTGGGCGGGAGCAGGCAGATTGAGCGGGCATGAAGATGACATGAAGCTAAATATACTTGTTGTGAAACGTCTGGTTTTGCGGAAAGGTCTTCTTGCGCCTGGCTGTGGTCCCAATGGGTTTGGGGTATATGTTCCTTCTTCCAGGGGCTTTGGGGGGGCTCTCCCTAATTGAGCTACACCCATATCCCCATGCCAAACCTCGGATTTTTTTAATGAGGGAACAGAACCTCCACGGTACCTCCACGATCTGGACCTGGAACCAACTTTTCGGTTTGGGTCCAGTTTCCGAATCTGAAGAATTCAAACTTCCACAGTTTCCCTGGAAAACAAACCCAGACACTCCATGGGACTGCCATATATGCCTACATTGGGGTGGTGCCAGAGGGGTCAATGTAGGTATATATGGCAGTCCCAGACAGGTCGTGTCTGGGAAAGGTGAACCGTTTTCATCTGTTCATGTTTAGTGGGAAATCATCCCCCCCAAAAAAGGTGTTGCAGGGGATCCACTTTTCCGGGGTAGGCTGAAACATCACAAAGCTCCGCGCACGGAAGGACAATGCTCCGCGCACGGAATTCACTTCCTGGATGATCTTGGAGCCCACCACGCAGCCATCCGCAAAGGCACCAAACTCCTGCCGTGCCAAAAAGAGCGACGTGAGATCTCCAAAGACCTTCATATAGGAGATCATAGGAGACCCAGAGGTGACAGCATTTGCAGTTGACTTGTTTGCCACGGAGTGAATAGCCATTTCTTGTGCACGTTGCACCAAATTCACATCTAACATATAGAAAAGGCTTCTTAAGAGTCCGACTTTGCATTCATAGTCTGGCCACGGTTTCTGTGACGAATGACCAGCTACCGAGCGCTTCAAAGAACGCTGCACATGTCCAAAGGAATTCCGCAGGTGTTCCTTTTGAAGTTGTTTCAATGCAATTCTTCCCTTCAGCTTCTCAGCTTCGAAGCGGGCTCGTCTTCAGCTTCTCAGGTCTCCCGGCCGCGGGCCTCCACGTGCTTTCGCTCTGAGATACCAAAGCCCACCACGACAGGGAGTTCAGCCCCCAGCCTCGACAGCGACGAAACAGTCGGAGCGGAGCGGAGACGTTTCGATCGCCGCATTGAACTGACTCATCTTAGCACCGGGGCAGGGGTAGAGGATCCGAACACCCAAACACGGCCTGTCTAGGACTGCCAGGGGCTGGGCGACGGACTGCCGAGTGGCACGGCCAGGAGTGGTTGACTGGGGGTCAATGTAGGTATCTATACCTGGAACCTGAATGACCCCTGTTTTGATAGGAAAAGGCCATATTTTGGGTGGTTGGTGGTCCAAAATAGAGGTCATTCAGGTTCTAGGTATATATATATATATATAATATACTCCATGGAGGACATGGTGCTATCCGAACGGAGGACGGAGGTGCGCGTTGCCCAGAACTTCACATCACATCCACGAGCCCTGGATGGGCCGAAGCAAACCACTCCGACATAGAACCTCTGGCTGCCGGCTGTCGTCTTTCTTGAAAGCACCATCCACAAGCACCATCCATGTGTGTGTACGGTCAACAAACGCACAAGACACACACTCCTGGACTCTCCTATGGAGGGAGCTGACCCTCATATGGGGTCTGGGGGTCTCAACCCAGATTTTGAGTCACCAGAAGACTAAGACACCAGACACCAACGCACCAAGTCATCGTTGTCACAACCGCGTTGACTCCCCGAAACTCCATGAAACGCCCAACCAATCGATGTGAGGAGCTTCTTGGCAGCATCGCGCACCTGGGGCGTGATGCTGGCATCGCGCTGGTGGAGACCGAGATCGTGGCATGTTGACGTTGAACGATGTTGAAGACTGAAACATGAACATATCCCCCATTTGCATCATCATGCATCCAAATAGAGCTATATAGTGCAACGTGAAAGAACATGATGAAATTATGTTGAGTTCCTGCGGCAAAACACTCGGGCCACACATGAACGTCATGGACTGGATGAGCAGTGTCATTGAACATCATGATGGACACTCTAGGTGTACATGGCTCGGGAATATATATATATATAGAAACGTATATAGAAATAACTTATATATAGAACTGTCTCAGTCTGTGTGAAGTTTGAATCGGCACCGGCCAGACGTCACCCGAGTCAGTCCATGTAGGGTGAGGGTGACAGTTGGCGGAGTTTGGAGTGAGGATACCCACTGATACCTACCCTAGACATAATCGCTGACTCCCTGAAATTCCCTGGAAAACAAAAAGGTTCACAAAGGTGTTCACCTTTTCGTTTCTTCGTATAGGAAAGGGTCAAAAGCAAGTGATCCACTCACTGGGTAGGGGCTCATGCCCAGGTGCTTCAAGTTGAAATCTCTGCTCCATCTTGGAGCCTTTGACTCATCCAGTAGGCCTCACCCCCTTGCAACCGCCAAAACCACCCAGAAGTACCATCCCCTCGTGTCCAACCCCATCACCCCCTCTTCGGACTCCGAAGCTGTGGAAAATCCAGCGATGAACCGAACCAAACTCTCAACCTGTTCCCCCCACATGTCCCCCAAGAAAGGTGACCCCTCCTGGCAGACTCACATGGACTCTGAAAATGCCAACACCCTGTTCCTCTACAAACCAGTTTTGTGGTCCTTTGCAGGTCAAGGTGATTCAACTGTACGGCCCAACCATGCAGGACTCCACCCCACTCGACGGCCACTCGTTGGACCCCACCAGGGTCCTTTTCATGTACAATGGACCTGGAGTCTCAGTTTCGCACCTCGAAAAACGTTGGAAAAAGGGGTGCGAACGTATCTGTTTTTGTAGGGTCATGTCCCATTTTCTAGGGTAGTTTGCAGGGTCCAGGTATGGGTCCCTTTACTCAGTCAATGTCATGCAACTCTTTGAGTCTCACGGACATTCTTGGTATGCAGCTGGGTCACAGACTGCACCACGCCCTGGCATGACGAAAACAGCGGGCCCGAAGCGGACACCAGACATCTCTTTTGGGAGGTGGAAGATGGAGGGAACTTGCCCCTGACGCTCCATGGGACTGGAATATGTTCCTTACATTGACCCTGTCAAGCACCCCCACTGAAAACCAACCAGTTGGGGCTGTGCCCTTTACAAACTGGAGGAAGATCTATCTGACATCATCGCAGAGTTTCTGATCAAAAAAACATGGCGCTCCTGCATCTGTCAGTCTTTTCAAAGTGCTCGAAAGAGAATTCCATCACCGAAATGAAGGAGCGGCAGTAAAAAGCATTTCCCCCCTGCAAACTGGAGGCCAGGGGTTGAACAAAAGCTAGCCACTGCTGAGAACGGTTTGTTGTTCCGACGCAAGAGCAGTGCGGTAATGGGGAGGGCGGCAGCTTCCTAACGAGGAGCTTGTGCCAAGGCACGTAGTCCACTCTTGGAAGGCCAAGTGGTGTGACACAAAAGTAGCCTCCAAGAGTGGACTACGTAACCCCAGTAAACACCACTTGGTCGAAATCACTTTACTTTTAGTGGTGTGACAGCAAAGTCTTTTAAGCTACAATTCTAAACAAATCCCAGTAAAGTCGTTGGTCCACACGGAACCACTCCGACCAAGGACTTTTTCTCGACGGAAAAAAAGAAGCGCCAAATGCAGTCAATCACACCCCCGCAACGCACCATGCCACCGAAGTTGTCCGTAACTCATCATGCATTCAAACACCGAAACCCCGAACCGGTTTCCAGCCCGGTAGGCTGAGACCACCCGGGCAAACATGGATGACATGTTCCAATCCCAGATGGGTTGGTGTCTGGGGCCCACATCGCTCTGTGCATCGACCCATGTGAGATCCCATCGCCCGCACTTGTCACGTCGCCTCACATTCCTTGAGCCGAATGGCCTGGCCAATCTCCGTTGACCGGGACATGTGGGACACGGGAAGTGGAAGAAGGTGCGAATGGAGTGCCCATCCAACACCCTGGGAGCCCAAGATCATTTTGAACATGGTTGACCCAGTGTTTAGGGTAAAATCCTTAGCACAACAATGGTTGTTTGGTACGGTATAAGAACCATTAAATTTCATTAAATATTACCTGAATTGATGGTGGTTGGAAGCCTGGTCAACAGGGAAGTCATGCCGTATGTCAGCAAATCTACACCGGGTCGCCTTCGTTCAACCCTCGAAAACTGGTTGAGCTGGCCGTGTAGTCTAAAATCAATATGTGGTTGGAATCCTAGGGCCTAGGGCCCCTAGGGCCTTCGGTACAATCCAATAAATCATAAGTGGTTGGAATCCTAGGGCTTATGAGGCATATCCACAAACAGGGTGTTCACTGTTCCAGCTATTCTAAAACACTCTGATTGCAGCTCAGCTCTTGCGTCGGCGACGCTCCACTAAATGCACCAAACATGGACAAGACAAAATCAACCTTATGATGGGGTGTTCAGGTAGTATGGCCCATGAATACCTAGGGTTGAATCATCGAGTGCAGAAGGTGCATCGTTATTGCGAACGTTTGTGACTCAAGCAGTCAAGAACGAAGGTTGAGACATTTGGTCCCGTCTGATTCAGCTACTCACTGGTATCAAAAACGATACAGCTTGTCGTTTGTGTGGTCATAAACTTAGAACACGTGTGTTTCTCATGTTGATGCCTTCAGTCACGTGAAATGCCCTTTGTGGTCAGAACTTTTAGCAACAAACTCTGTTTCAATCCATGGGGACTTGATGATTTGCCAACATGCGGGTAGTTGTAAATGCTTAAAGGCTAAAATGTAGGTAAAGAGCCATCATACTGTAAGTGGGGCTCGAATATACCTCTGTTTCTCAACGACAAGTGCTTGGGGTGGTTTTGGTTTTTTATTGTTGAATGATGTTGAATGATTCTTCCGCTGAACCCCTTTGTGAGAACCCCAAGCAGCAAACTTCAAAAACAATTGGAACCACATCCACCATCCAACAAAAAGAACCCAACTTTCATTCACCACTGCCCACCACCTCCCACCACTGCCCACCCCAGAAACCTGCATCCCCCAGCACCCCGGACCCGACCCCAACGGCCTTGGCTTTGGCCTCTTCGCCTTCTCGAGTCCCGGTGACGCCCAGCAGCGAGACCACCTCGGGTCGTGTGCTGTCGCTAAGCACATGGACCGTGAGGACCGTTCGGAAGGGTCCGGGAACGGAGGACGTGTTGGGGAGGACGGTGAACATATGTCTTTTTTGGTTGGGAAGAAGCCGAGGTGAAACAGCAAAACAAGATGGAGTCCACCCAGGAGAGATAAACATCTTCTCTACAAAACCAGGACGATTCATCCGTAGGGAAGATAAACATAGATAAACACATCACCCCACCCAGTAGGTTCCTGTGGAGTGAGTATCCGGGTCATCACAAAGCCAAGCAGTGAAAAATGATTGTGATCATTCAGAAATACTATGGACAAACCAACTGCTTCTTTTTTTTAACTTTCCTTGCAAAGGCTCAGAGTTCGGACCCTCAGTTCGCTCGGGTTTTGACCCTCACAACTCAGGGTTTGGACCGAACCAACAGTTCGGTAGGTGGGTTTCGGGTCGGTCGCTTCTGGGCCGCTCAGAGGTTCGTGGGATGACTTGACCATCTAACTCATCTGGATGCCTTCAACCTTCTCAATCCCAAACCCAGGCGGTTGAGTTCCACCCCAACACGACCCAACACGGCTGGCATCTTTGCCTGTTTGGGAGGTTCGGATGTACGCATTGCCAGTTTCATGGAGTGCCTGGAGTGTGAGTGTTTTACATGTTTTTTTATCTGCCCCCTAAGAGATCTTTTGTGAAGGTCAGTGTTCTCAGTGTTCATCCCCACGAAGGGATGCTATACTCGTGAAGCTCTTCAAACTCAAAGTACTGCGCTGCACGATCTTTCTCAAAGGTTGGGATATAGAGAACTCAAGACCATGATAGACCATGGTTAAGTGGACCACATTCCTGATGTTCCTTCAGTGCTTCCATAAGGGGCTGATGGGCTCGCCACAAAGATCTACTTGAAAGAAGCAAGCACCAAACGTCGATGTTTATCAACACACATAGTTGTTTTATTTTTATGTGTTTAATATAATCATATATAGTTCATTGGAGAGAGCCTGTTTTCGATGATTTTTTTGTAAGAAGTCTAAAAGAGTCAAAAAAAATCAATCCCAAAAGTCAAACCAAAATCAAATTGCACAGATCCGACTTTTGTTCGACTTGTTTTAACTGTTCTTGTTGACTTGTTTTTTTTTGACTTTTTTTTTGACTTGTTTAAGACGTTTTTTTTTTTTCGAGTGGTTGATATTTTTGTTTTTGACTGTTACTGGTTCGAATTGTTTTTTGATTTTGACATGTTTGACCTTTGTTTTCGACGTTTGTTTGACTCTTTTTGTGTCGTTTTGCAACTTTTTGTGGACTGTTTTATTTGACTTTTTCGAGCTGTGGTCTATGTTTGACTTTTTTGACTTTGACGTTTCCATTTGACTTTTTTGACTTATTTAATCAAGGATTCTGGCTGGCCTTACCATATGAAAGATTGTCCTAAACATATGGTAAAACAATATTGTAATTACATACGCCACATACTGTACTATTATATGTTCGTATATTCAGTGTTCTCCGATCCTTTTCAGCAAGTCAAGACTCAAATTTGATCCAAGTCGCATAGACCATGCCAGGGATCGGCGTGATGGCGGCTTCCGCCACCTGACCATCCCAGCGGAGGCCGACCGGGCCGTTATGGGCGACCAAGCCAGTTGAACCGAACAAGTTGCTGGAACTGGTCAAACCGTGTAAAGCCCCTACCTGGGTGTCCCCAGTCAACCAGAAACCATTCTGGTTGTTTCCGGCCATCTAGATCCTTTATACACAACAAGCGGTTGGGACTTGGATGCCATCCAAACTTGCTTCTAGTTCGGACTGGGGCCCTCCAGGCTGGTCCTACACCAGGAGAAACTGTTGTTCTTGAAGTTTCTAAATGGGCGTGTATTCCACCCTAGGCCTCCAGTCGTACCTTCTGAGAGGGTGTTTGGGGTGGGTGCCAGGAGGGTCCAGTCATACCTTCTGAGGAGGTACGACTGGAGGTGTAGGGAAAGTAGGGAGATCAGTTCAACACCCTGGAAGGGCCGGACAATAGACCTGAGTCTACCCATTGGACCGGGAGAACTCCCTCATGAAATACACAACCAAATGTATAACACCTTTCTCCCCTCATGTAGAATATTCATTCATAAACTACGCCCCGCTTTGGATCCAAAACGCCTTTTCAATCCTTTTCATATGGGTGGGTTGCTAGCCCCAGGAACCTTGGGGATTTAAACATCACCCGATCCCCAAACCCGGTGAGAATGGACCGTGCTGAATTCTGCTACACGAAATGGAGCTTCCCATGAGCTTCAGCTTTAGTGGGATCAACACAGACAATTGGCAGTTATACTCACCCGTCCAGGGTCATTGAATGTGATGACCCTCTCATGTTCAATCCTCAGAAAAATGGGACATGACCCTGTAAAAACACACAACTGGTACCCATTTTCTGGGGTACGAAGGGGTCGACTCCAGGAAGAGTTCCATGTTCGGGTCGGTCTTCCTTCGCGGTCCCTAGGTGGGAATCTTGTTTCGTCCCCGCTCTGAGCTCTGAAAGGCACACGAGACCCAAACTTAGCACCATCGAAGGGACATGACAGACCTGACCTACGCCTCATCCACACCATCTGCCAGCCATCTGCCGCGAAAAAGGTCCCCGGTATCCATTCCACGGTCCCCCGATGCGCCTGCTGGATGCGTTCAGCCCCACTGGTGGGGGAGGCTAAAGGCACCAGGCTCAAGTTGTGCTTGGCAGCAGAAGGTGCCATGATCTCAGCCAACCACGAAGTGGTCGGGGTACCACTAGTGCCATGGAGTCGTGAAAGGCAAGATCCAGTCTCACCAGACTGGCAAACAGACGCGGTCAACTAATCAGTAAGTCTATGCCAGATATGCCAGGAACCTCCAAGCGGTGTCTATAAATGGCTCCTTAGAGGTTGAGTTCAAAAACCACCTGTTGGAAGGTCCTGGTAGAGAACTTGCAAAATTGGAAGCTACAGTCTTCTCCTCAACTGAGGTGCTCAACTGGGTGTGAAACTCAGGCCCACCTTCACTCTCGCCCCGGTCAGCTGGGTAGACTGGTCTAAGACTACCGAACCCAGGGGGTGGTTGCCAGGTGTCGGTCTCCCTGTTTTGATGGATCCAGGAAGGTACCTTCTCCTCAGGTTCGGTACGACTGGACCTTCCTGGCACCTACATGTCTCAGTGTCGAACACATCACGGTACCTGAGAAGGTACTTGGATCCTTAGGGATACACACCCAACTGGCGAAACTGAGGTGAAGGAACCTTCTCCAGAACCCCCCGCAACATGGTCCTTAGCGCACAAGAACTGGCGCCGTGCTTGGCAAAGAAGAATTGGTATCTGCATGAATACTTTCCTATCTGGGGGATTGACATTGCCTCGCCACCTGCAACTGTTTTGGGCTGCTCAGCCAGTCCATACCTTTTGAACATGGACAGGTTGTTGAATCTCCATACTGTTGAATTCTCAAATCTACATCTCATGTACCCGGTCCACACACTGAAGCCGGTCCACACACTCAACTCTCATCCCCGCAGTGATTTCACACACAACCACACCAAAAAGTCGAAGACAGTCAAGTTGCGGGGCTATCACAGGTCTCTATAGGGAAGCAATAGATAGACTACGTCGTGCATCCTCTTCCAAGAGATAGGAAGAATGATGATTTATTCTCCACCCTAAGAATCCTTGGGCTCTCCATGGCAGGGGTCGGACCCTCCATAGCAGGGGTCCGGGCCTTCAAAACCCTATGTGTTTGAGGATCCGGATTCTTAGGGCATCCACACCATGTATGGAATATATGCCACCCCATTGACCCCTCTGGCACCACCACCCCAACTGATCGACATTTTTTTTTGCAGTCCCAACTGATCGCGCGCTATGGGCTCATCTCCAAGGATCCCTCCAGGATTCTTCGACGGGAAGGTCCACCACGATGAAACCGTCAATGCCTGCCTCGGAGCACTCCTGACGCGCGGAGTCCCCGGAGAGCTCAGGGTGGCTCATGTTGAAGTGACGAAGAACAAGACTGGGATATGACCCAGACACTCCATGGGACTGGCATATTTACCTACATTGGGGTGGTTTTAGGGATCAATGTAGGCATATATAGCATACATGGAGTGTCTGGGTGATATATATAATTAATATATATATATATATATTATAAGTATCATATATCAGTTATATATATATATAGGCCTAGACACTCTCAAGTACCTTAGAAAATGGGACATGACATGACTCTATAAGAACAGGTATACAGAGATCGGTATACCTATTATCTGAGGTACGAGGTACGCGATCGACTCCATATATATTCTACGGCTCCTTGCAGGTCTCTTCGACGCCGGCGGCCAAAAAGGAATTGTAGTATCCTTGGATTGGCGGCTCCCAGCTGGTGAAAAAATCACACTCCAGGTGAGGGGATTGACCAGGTGAGGGGATGATCTTCTCCTGGCATAGGAGAGTCACCCAGTTCGGGGACAAAAACGTGGAACACATAACCAATGGTAACCAATGGTAACCAATCACATCCTTTTTTTCATATCCAAATCACCGAATCAAAACCAAGTCTCCCATGAGAAGCAACGGGACTTTCAAGCCTTTCGCACCTCGGGCGCTTTTTTTCGGCGTGGCTCGCACAGCGCGATCGACCGGCGCCACGGGACTAAATGCACGGCGTGATGAGAAGGGAGTCCACCCAATGCAGCATAACAAGAGTTCTATTGATCCATACATAACAAGTGATTGAGACTGGGGAGTTTCAAACTTGTTTCTGCGGCCCTCCAGGTATGCGGTAAGCATGTTCTTTCTCTGATAGCAGCTGATATGATGGGTTCAGAAGGACTTAGGATTTGACCCAGTTGATGTACACCAACATCAGTTAGGTCGATGAGGCAAAAGCATGCTCCTCGTCACGTCGCTATCAACCCTCCGCTGCTTGTCATTCTGTCGCCTGCTATTATATTACTACAGGTCAAAGACTTCATTTAGTAATATTAATAGCCACTCGTTTAATAACCACTTAATAAACCTTCAAAGACTTCATTTAAGAGTTACTTAAAGACCACTTAATAAATCTTAATAACCACTTAATAACCTTCATTCAAGACTTCATTTCATCAGGTACTGGAGTTGGTCAAACGCTTCACCACTCCTTCGGAGGTAGAGTGGGCCATAGCTTCGATGACCCGCCTGTCACATCGGTGGTTGAGTGGACCCGTCTGTCACATCGGGTGCCAACCACTGTGACACGGTGAGTGGGGGAGGTTCTGGCTCAACCATCCAGTGAGTGGCGGAGTCACTCTGGCTCGATGTTCTACCTATAGTGCTTGGAGGTAGAGAAATTCTTTGGCACATGTGAACCATGCTTTTGCCCGCCCGTCCCATTTCATCCCACTTCGGAGGCGCCCGTCCTTCTTCGCGTCGCGCCGGAGCCGTCCGTCCGCGGGGATCCGGAGAGATCGAGGTGTCATTCGTCCGCTGGGAATCCATGGTCGTTCGGTGTCAAGGGTCTGAACCGTTGAGTGTCATGAGACCCAACGGGTCTTAATCCTTGTACCAGCACCCAACTCTACAGGTCTCCAGGTCTCATTGGTGACTTTGGGAGACTGAAAATAAGTCGCAGGGTGACCTATGAAGTAGGAAAAGTCTTAGTCCTTGGCCCTGAAGTGGTTCTGGCCCAAGCTGTGCTCTGGCTCTGCCAAGCTGTGCTTCACAAAGCTTAGAGCACCTGGAGGAAAAGATTTTGTTATAGAAAGCCAAGGGCCCTTAAAATACTTCCGTTGACCTGATCAAAAGTAGTGAACAACATCTGGTTGTTTGGGAAACAAACAACTTTAGAATTCATAACAAAATCAACCAGGAATCATGGTTGTTTGGGGCGTCTTGTTTGCTAAACACCATCTGGAACCGTTAGAGCTGAGCCGATTCGCATGCCTTGCATCGCTTGTGGCTTCTCCCGGCTCCACAGCGGTCGAAATGAAGAACCAGATTTCCAAACACTCCATGGGACTGGAATATCTATACCTGGAGTGGACCCGTTAGTACCGCAGAAAATGATGAAAATGGGTACAAGTACGTGTTTTAGAGGGTCATGTCATGTCCCATTTTCTAAGGTACTTGAAGTCGGAACCAGGTACCTAACCCAGCGCATCCACTTACCACAATAGCTGGTAACCAGTAGTTCCAAAGACCAAAACTGACCTAGAAACCCCTGGTTCCTTATCAAAGAAGGTAACTGGGATCCACTGGGTACATTAATCCTTCAAACATCTTTCACCCACCCCTATGGATCCACATACCTTCTCAGAAGGTAATTGGACCCTCCAAGCCTACGTAAATAGTCTCCCTGCTCACCTTCTCAGGTTCGGTATGTGGATCCACAGGGCACCCTAATCGATAAGCAAATCTTCCCGTTCCCATGGACTCGCTGGGCCTATCTCACCAAGCCACGTGCTTCCCTTGCATAGCCAATGACATCCGAGTAGAGGGTGCCTTGCACGGAGAGTTGGCGCCGGAGAGTTGGCGCCTTCTCGCGCTGCTGAGCACATTGGGTCCCCATAAAGTGTATCGCGAGTCCACGCCTGGTTTCCGAGACCCACATGGAACCTGAGGGTTTTCACTGGGTGTGTGGAGGTTCAGCTATAGTCTTCCAGTCTGGTCCATGTGGGTCGCACGGCGTACCTTTCCTGAGGGAACCAGGCCGTCGAGAACATGAAACTCTCTTCAGGCCCAAAACAGGTCGTGGTACACAAACCATGACAGACCCCTCTATACAGTTCATGGTTTTGGGACCTTTGAGCACCAAGCAACAGAAAACAACTTGAAGCTGTCGATTGGAAGACACAGGATCCAGATTGGGAAATCCCTTTTTCCTATACCATATGCATAATATTGTATAATATACCTATAGAGCCCATTTGACCTTTGTTTTGCTGGAAGAACACCATGTCTTGGGTGGTTGGCGGTTCGTCACTCAGGCTCTAGGTAGCTACTGTACTTTCCCTCAGTTTCCCTCATGCCACCTTTCACTCCCTCTCTCACCCAGGAACCGTTCTTGATGGCCACCACAGAGGCTGCTTCGATGGCACTCCCATCGGCCATGGGATCGCTAAAGGGCACGCCCAACTCGATGATGTCAGCGCCTGGACAGCGCGGTCAGCTGGAAAGGATCATTTCGGAAATGGCATCCACAATCCATGGGACTGGCTGGGACTGGAATAGGTGCGTTCCTCCATCTCTAGGATGATTTCAAGCTGTTTTTAGAGGTCTTATGGAGTGGATCTCTCACCCACCGATCGTCTGGGAGGCTTCTGCTTACGGCGAAAGGCCACGTCTCAGCGGAGACGATTCACCCAAGGCCGTGGAGAGGACATCGATTCGGGTCATGTCAACGAGAGAAGACACGTGGTTTTTGAGGATCCTTTTACTACATCCACACTTGTGAGTCAGGCGCGTCCACGGCCGCGGCGGTGGACAGTCCGCACAAGGTCAGGGGTCGGGTGCCCCACAGGCTAGTGAGAATGGTCAGCCAGCAGCCAGGTGGCTCTCAGGGGCCGAGTCAGGTCATTGACCGTCCTAATCGGTCTCTCTTAGTTCAATTTGCTTGAACGACAACCTCTTGGAAGGCTTGGGTTTGCTCGGTCTGGTCTCCTCCAAATAAACATCGTATGCCGCATATATATATATAATAGATATACAGCACATATATTAGTGTATATATATATATATAGCCCCTTCTCTAGTACATTTGGATAGGCCATGGTGAGTTTTGGAGTGTATACCCACAAGACTCTCGCCTCAAACTCTAACTATGAGTCGATTGGATGGTACCATCTTGTGCTCATAGAGGCCTCATATTGGCTGGTTGTGGTTGCTGTTGCTGTTGCTGTTGTTTTCAAGGGTTATGTCCCACAGCTGCCTTTCATTCTGAGCACATCGCATCCAACTTGAGTTGTCCAAGTTGTGTTGACGAGTGCATCATCCACCTCGAATGTTTACAAGGCCTGCTTGTCCCAAAAACACTTACATATATAAATACAGAAGGCAGCACGTCTGCCTTTCGGGTGTTCTCACACTTCATCAACGGCTTAGCGGATCCGTCCCCAAACGGATCCGTTCGGATCAGACCTTCGGATGCCTGGAATCCACAGAACCTGGATGCCTCGAATTCCAGGTCGGCCATATTTTGGTACCCACCAAACCTGGCAACATCTGCGCGGCATTATTCAGGGTGGCATCAAGTCGTTTTGTTTAAGAAGCATCAATGACCAAACGTGTGACAAACGAGATGAATATATGAGTGTGTAGCTCAATTAGGGAGACCATCCCAGTTCAACCTCCTGGAAGGTTTGGGAAATAGACCAATCTACCCAGCCAGGGTCAGGAGAGGGTCTCCCTATTGAAATACACACCCATATTTGGGACCACCAAAGCACAGGAAATTCCTGGATCATGTTAAACATAGTCTTGGACTTTGATGGCAAACATGTCTGAAGAAGGTTCATGTCTACTTTAACTTCCAGCCAATGAGTCACCCTCTGACGAACGCATCACATGAAGCTGGATGGCAAGGCTCCTTGGAAGACTAGTTTCCCTTACGAACCGGGGGGTGCCATCCACTTCGTGATGTGATGTGTTGCAACAGGCTTTCTCACTGTTCGGCCGGACCGTTTCAGCGGCCGTTCCGCTCGCTCCGCTCCTTGCTTCTCGATCTCGAAAAGGGCAGGGATTGTATCTGCCTTCGTGGGATAGCCTGCCTGGTACGCTGGGCGCGGCGTTGAAGGCTGCGGCTTTTCAGGGTGAAGGAGCAACGGAAGGAGCATTTAAGTGAAGCTTCACCAACCAGACCCCAGAAATTTGCAGGGGCTGCTTTCAACACCAGGGTTCAAACTACCGCTCTTATATAAAGAGGTTCTACAGTCCCAATGGAAGGAGTTGTATATATAATATATAATATAATATCTATAATCAATTAACGCCTCACTTGAAGAGGCTTTACAATCCCAAGGGGATGGGGAGTGTTTCAGAAAGAGCCTAAAGTATATACCGATACCCATGCAAGGATTATTCTTATGGAAAAAAAACTCCTACGCCTACTTGGATGCCACGGACAACAGCCAATGACCCGCGGAAGATGGGACGTCTGACATGAAAAACAGCCAACGCTGTTGTGGGAGCTGTTGCGGGCTGTTGTGGATGTAGAAGGCGAGATGGTAGATCTCTGGACATGTCTGGACCTTTCTGGAGTCCCATACAGTGACCTCAAAGTGACTGAACTGAGGAGTTCCATGCGTTTTTTTTCCTGCAGAACAGGGATCCTTGTGAGCGAACCAACCCGGGGATGAAAGAGTCAGGTCACTAAGAAGAACCAGATCGGTAGATCGATCTGTAATTCATTTAGCCCAGACACGAACCAGTCGGTTTAGACTGCCATGTCGGACTATATATACCGCCCCACAACGACCCCTCAAACCACCACCACCCCTGGCCGTTTCTCGGCAGTCCTATGGCAGTCCCGTTGGCCGTGTCTGGGTAGTACTCCTTTTCCAAGGAACGAACTGAGACTTCATCAGACCGTATGGGCCCCGACCGGGCAGTTCTTGACTGCGCTGCAAGACACCTATGGGGTGACCTGCAACGGGACAACGGGAAGACCACGACTGGTACACAACAAATGATCCTTAAAAAGCTCCAACGAAAGCCTTACAGGCATGGAGTTTAGTAAAACCAAAAAACCTCTGGAAGTTGCTTGAAATGTCATTTTGCAGGAATCTCCGTTCACTTAGATTCTAGATGCGTCGGAACATCTAACTAGAGTCGCCGAGATGAAGGTGATGTACTGCCGCCCAGCGCGCTACGTGTGTTTGCATATCCCTAATAGTCCCTTTAGTAAATCTAACTCTCTGAGTATGGAGTACCATTCTCTTGCCATGCGTCTTCCGGTCTTTTTCAATGCCTGGTCTCCATGGTACACCTGGGTCCGCCAGCGAAAGAACCGCACAACCGCCGTTGGACCGTTGTTGTATAGACCAGGGACCATCGGACTGGCATATTGACCTTCCTTGGGTTTCAGGTGTCAATGGATGCTAAATATGCCCGTCCCATGGATTGCTCAGGCTACCGGCACCAAGCCGACCCGCGTCGAGTGCCACCCGAGCGGGACCCGCGTGCGTTCCGAGCGGCCGTGACGTAGGCCACGAAGGCCGTGCGTTTGGCCTGGCGGCACGCCGCGAAGCGCTCCTGAGCCGGAAGGACTTTGGTAGGTGGCGGGCGTGCGGTGGAAGGGTGGAAGTGAACATGGTCAACTGAACAGGTGGGAGGTGTTAGGGTTTTGATGTGTTCTGGCTGAGAAAGCTTCTGGCCACCAACATTTCTTTTAGCTTCCACGACGTTGTGAAGGTTTGAATGGCTGGGAAAGACTGCCCATTGCTTTCCTTCAATCATAACCTGTTCAGGGACCATCAGGGACCCCCAGGTGACAGGTGTCGAGAATCCTAATTCAGGTTCCTGATGCATGCCAGCTGCTTCTAATAGCCTCCCTCGAGCTCACTCAAACATACAGGTTAACATACCCTACACTTCCAGTCGTACCTCCTCAGTAGGTACTTAGACCCTCCTGGCACCCACCCCAAACACCTTCTCAGGTTCGGTACGACTGGAGGCCTAGGGATAGGTTGACGTTAACCCTTTTTCCCTCGTCCAAATGCTTCTTCGTGGGGTCTCCCCAATCTTCTCCAATCACCCACCCACGAAAGCTACCTGCAGGTGATCCGATCCTGCTGCGTGCGGCGTGCGCCTGCGTGCGGCTTCTAATTAATCCGCGCGCATGTCCAGGGCGGCCACACCGATAGGTCAAAGATGGTCCAAGGGCTCCCGTCACTGAGCCACGATGATGCACGATGTACTGTGCGGTAAGTCCCTAGGGCTCCTGGCCCATACCCTCAGAAGGTGGTTAGACCCCCCAAACCCACCCCAACCACCTTCTCAGGAGGTGGTTGGAGCCCTATGTCTAGTCTGTCTAGTCCATCGTTTTCTTGTGCTGACAACGGGGTCAACCAGCTTGGGATGCTGCCCGTGTGCCTAGCGCCACTGGAATTCCAGCCAGAAGGGCGTTAATGAGGGCCGTCAGGGTCAATTTTGGAGACAAACATAGACAAACTGATCTGGAGACCTTCGACTCATCCAAGCGGTCTATACTCCTTTGTAGGTCTGGCTCTGTGCAACCGCTACACCACCCAGAAGACCTACCCCAATCTGCGTCCATGTCGCCGCCAAGCGTGCCGACATGGCCAAAAATGGGAGGCGCGGGATCCCTATGCGGCGAAGATGGGACGAGTGGCACAGCTAAAGCATCTAGAGCCACATCAAATGCCACGGTGTCCGCCAGTTTCCTCGCCAATAGGGGAAACCAGGAAACCGCTCAGCCAAGATGGAAGGATTGGAGGTTCCCTTCATGTCAAGTTGCATCCCTCCAGCTTGCCACACTGCAAGATCCAAAAGACCTGCTTTGAGAAGTGTTAGTAAGCAGCATTCAATTGCTCAACGAGTCTGGCTTCCTTTGGACCCGATCCCATTGGAATGTCTATCTTTGGTCCATCAGAAACACACAAAGGCTTTTCACGCGCTACACAACATGATGGAGCCCGAAACCATTGGCTTGCGACGGAACGTCCACTTCCGGTGCGAAACAGTTGGGGATCGACCCATTTCGGGAATCATCAACCCCTAGGGCTCCAACCATATCCTCAGGTTCGGTGGTTAGACCCCCCCTGGCACCCACCCCAACCACCTTCTCCTCAGGAGGTAGGCCAGGAGCCCTAGGGAACAAACCACTACCACTTCTACCACCCGAAAGATGCAACAAAAACCGCTCCAGGAGTCGAGTGGCTTCGTGTCTACCTTACCTGTCTACCGTCTACAACGACCGAAGGAGTGGACCGGGCGCTTCGTGTCACCCCTCGGGTCCGTCGGTCACGGACGTCCGGTCTCGTGGTTTTTCCGTTCGAAGAACTCCCGGTCGCTGGCAGCTGGAAGATGACAACACCTATGTGAGTGACTCATGACCCGAGTCATAAGCATCTCAAAACCGCCAACCGCCCCAA